CAAGGCTCCTTGGAAGGGATGGGGTCAGAGCTGTGACTTGAAGGTGACCAGGAGTTTGCCGGGTAGTCAGGTGAGGGAAGCCCTGAAGGCAGAGGACCAGGAAGTGTAAGTGTTAGCGCGAGAGCACCACTGTGTTCTGGGGGGAGGAGGGTTCGGTGAAGGAGTAAAAGGAGAGGGCAGGGGAGGAAAGCGGACGTGAGAGCAGATGGGAGGGAAGGGATCAGGGCACCTCACATGTGGACCAGACTTGACCCCAGGAGCATGAGATCCCGTGGAAGATGCTGAGCAGATGCACATGATGACGAGTCCACTGTGGCCGCAGCAGAGTTGGAGGTCAGAGGGTTCACGCGGATGATGGAATGACCTCGGAAATTATTGCAGTGCCAGGATGTAAGTTCCATTGAGCAATGATTTTTTTTTAATGTTTATTTTTGAGAGAGAGAGACAGAGTGTGAGCGAGGGAGGGGCAGAGAGAGAGGGAGACACAGAATCGGAAGCAGGCTCCAGGCTCTGAGCTGTCAGCACAGAGGCCGACTTGGGGCTCGAACCCACGAACCGTGAGATCATGACCTGAGCCGAAGTCGGACGCTTAGCTGACTGAGCTACCCAGGCGCCCCTTCACTGATGTATCCTAAACATCTGGGTCAGCATCTGGCACGTAATGGGTGTTCAGTTAATACTTGCCGAATGAATGAATGAATCAGCCGATGAGTCAATGGATGAATGACCATTGCTGGGAGTAAGGAGTCAGGCCTGTACTGGAGTGTGGTACTGGTGTGTAGGGATGGAGAGACAGGAGGTGTAGAGGGTGAAGTAGAGAGAAGGGAGTGATGGACAGTAGGTAGTCATGGAGTGTGAAGGTGACTCCCAGGTTTCTTCTTCTTTTTTTTTTTTTTAAGTTTATTTATTTATTTTGAGAGAGAGGGAAAGAGAGAGAGAGAGCAGGGGAGGAGCAGAGAGAGAGAGGGAGAGAGAGAATCCTAAGCAGGCTCTGCACTATTAGCACAGAGCCCAATGTAGGGCTCGAACTCACGAGCCATGAGATCATGACCTGGGCTGAAACCAAGAGTTGGATGCTTAACCGACTGAGCCACCTAGGCGCCCCTACTTTTCTGTCTTAAACAGCAGGGCTCCTGAAGAAATGAGGAGGAGGGGGAACAGGATCGGGAGAGTTGATGAATTCGGACCGGGGCTTGCCGATTTTGAGGTCGAGCGGACTGTCCCTGAAGAGGGTTGGATGTGTGTGTCACTTTAAAAGTTGTAAAATGCTTTTGAAGCACACGTGATATTCTTCCCACCTCCTCTGCCATATCCTTGATACTCTGAAAAAATATCAGAGATATCTTTGAGCATTGTCAGCAGTAGATGGTAACTGAAGCCCTGGTGTGGGTGAGATCACGCTGGGAGGCTGTGCAGGTGCAGAGAGCAGAAGGCCAAGGCCGGACGCATTTGAGAAGGGGCAGAGGGAGAGAAGCCAGGCAAAGAGCATGAGAAGTGTCCAGAAATGGAGGAGGACCACAGAGAAAATGGTGTCATAGAAACCAGGGAGGAGAGAGGAAGGAGAGAGGGAATGGCTTGCAGGGCAGGTGTCTCAGAGTGGGGCAGCTGGTCCACGTGGCGGAGGGGATGGCAGTGGATTGCATGAGGAGGGGGAGACAGTGTGAGTCCAGACGACCTCCCCAGGGGCTGGGCTGAGAGCTAGACGGAGACACGGCAAGGGGAGAGGCGAGGAGGTCAGGGAGGGCTGGCTGGCAGTTTTCCAGGTCAGTCTCCCACACGAGGCTTGGGTGGACCAGAGCAGGTGCTCTACTTCCCCCAGAGAGAAGGAAGGAAGTGAAGGATGTCACTGGTGAATGTCTGAGTGTAGGACTTTTCTGCTTGTTAGCATGCATTTTCTCTATTTACAACATTTTTTAGTCCTCTGGGTTTTTTTTCCCCCAGTTCTATTGAGATACAATTCATAACTTTGTATTAGTTTCAGGTGCACAACATCATGATTTGATATATGTATATATTGTGCAATGATTAGTGCAAGGAGTTTAATTAACATCCATGGTTCTCTATTTTTTTTTAATCAACTTTGTATGGAGTAATTGACATATAATCAAATGCACGCATCTTAACTGTACAAGTGATGACTTTTGACAAATCTATACAGCCACGTAGCCGCCTCCCCAGTAAAGATATAGAGCATTTACATCTCTCCAGAAAGTTCCTTCATATCCCATTACATTCCTCCAGACGCAGGCAAACACCGATGTGATTTCTATCACTGTAGATCAGGAGAGATTCATTTTGCTGGTTCTAGAGCTTCATAAAAGTGGAGTCTTACAATGTGTACTCTTCTGAATTTGATTTCTCTTACTCTGCACTGTATTTTTTTTTTTTTTCTGAAACAGGAAGCACAGCCATTGCTGGGTGGGGGGCTCAGGCGGAAAGCAGGAGAGGGAGCCCCTTGGGGCTGGGGGACATCGGCTGGGCAGTATTCCCCAACGGTGGCCCACAGCAGAAGCAGAGAAAGCAGCTGCGTGGCTTTGGGTTCAGGTAGGAGTCGGTGCTCAGGGCGTTGAGCCTTCTGGGTGCAGTTTACCTTGGCCATGGCAGGGTGCAGGGTGAGGCCCCGCGGCTGGCTGGTGTGAAGATGAGGAAGTCTGGACTCAGAAGGGGACGCGGAAGGCCTTCAGGATGGATGGCGGAGTTGGGCTTGAAAATCCCGGAGTCGTGCCTGACTTCCCACTCTCCACCGTTGGCCTGGCCACTTCTGTCGAAATGTCCCTGGGACCCTTGTCTTTGTTCCCGGGCCCAAGCGCCTTGAGCTCGAACCTCTGCTTGTCTAGGCTAAGCCTCTGCTGGGACCCATCCCTCCTCCCTCTTGTGGGGTCTCTTTATCCTGATCTGCAACCCCTCTCGCATCTACCTCTTTCCTCTCACCCTCCAAATGGGCTCAGGCCACCTCCGTCCAAAAGGCCACTCCCCGGCACTTGTCCCCTGGTCTCTCTGTCTCCCACCCCTGCTCTGCTTTGTAAATCAGGAGACCTGATTTACACCACTCGAGTTGACTCTCCGGCCCTCCTCACCCCTGCCGAAATTGCTCTGCCAGGGGTCAGTCACCAGTCACCACCTGTCGCCAGTGTTTTCTGGAGGTCAGCGCCTGGCCAGTGCCCCGCTTTCTGTTTCAGAGGAATGCCTCACTGGGTGATCTGCCCTAGAACTCTCCATCTCCCCTTCGCTCCCCACCTCCCCCTGCACCAACTGCTTCCCCCACAGCCTCCTCCATCTCCACTGACGGCAACTCAATCTTTCTAGCTCTTCGGGCCCCAAACCTGAATTTCTGATGTTGCTCACGCTCTGCTCTGTCCGCAGATCCTGCCAGCCTCACCTTCACGATGCACACTCGAGCCCAACTCCTTATAGGGAGGGGCCCGTAAGGTCTCACAGAGCCTGCTGCCCCAACCCCTCTGGCCCCGTCTCCACCCTTCCCCTCGTTCCTGTGCTGTGGCCACATCAGCTTCCTTGTTGTTTCCCCGTGCACAGCTGGCATGCCCCTGCCTTCTGGTGGGCCACCTTAAAACTGCAACCTGTACGCTTTCTGCCCCACCCCTTATCTTCCTTATACTTTTCCTTTGTCCTTAACCGGCTCATTATCCCTGTGTTTCTGCGTGCGGTTTGTGGCCCCCTCCGATGTAAGTGCCGCGAAGACGAGGCTCTTTTTGGATTTGGTTGCTGTATTCAAGGGCCTAGAACTGTGCCTGACACATACTTGGTGCTCAGTAAACATTTACTGAAAGAACTGAAGGAATTCTGAGCATCTGTCTTCGTGCCCTGGACACGGAGCTGTGGGCCCAGGATCCAAGTGTCGCCAGTCTGAGGCCCTCATGCTGTGTTCTGGAGGAACCAAGTGGCCAGGACAGAGGCCGGTGGGGGGCCCTCTTGGTGGCTGTGCCCGCGGTGCCCAGGGGGTGCCGTGTCCGATGCCAGTTCCTGCTGAGAGACAGCTGTGCTCTTTGCCTCTTGGCCCCAGGGCTCCAACACTAGGCGATCCTTCCCATTTCTCTACTTTTCCTAAGAAGCCAGAGTCGGTTTCCCAGACCCCTGGCTGGTTCATCTCAGAATCGTTAAGGCCAGCAGCTCCTTGGTCACCGTCCTGCTTAACCTCTCCACGGCACTGAATCCTCACGACCGCGCTGCACGCCTCACTGTCTCACGTTTCCCAGCCACCTTTGCAGAGGTCCTTTGCCTCTGCCCATCCCACAGGGGTCCTCTTCCCGATGCACATGACTTTCCCTGGCAGAGCGTGTTCACACCTATGGTTTCTACCCTATTCCATGTCCCTGTGAGTTAGTCCTGACTGTTCTCTAATCCAAGACCTCCCCCCACCCCCAATCCCGGGCTCCTCAGACCGCATCCACTTCCACTTATATTCGGTCCCTGGGAACTGCGACCAAAACTGAAATGACATCTCCTCATCCCTGGGCCCACCCCTCCTCTTGTCCTACTTCAGTTAATAGCCTCCTCTCTCTCCTGAGAAAGAAACGTGAGGGTCCTTCTCGAATCTTTATCTCTCTCCCTCATCCTGTGAATCAGCCCCCAAGTCTCATAAAACCTGCCTTGTAAATACCTCTTAAATCAAAGTTTCCCTAAACGCAGCCCCCTTTCAGCCCTAAGCATCCCTGTGGCAACCTCGGCAGGTGCCTCCCAGTGGACTTCTGTTAACCATCTTTCTCCTCACTGTACCTCCCAGTGGCTCTTGGAACCGATCTCTGGGCTACACTTCTGCTGGGCACGGAATGTTCAGGTTCCAGGACCCCACCCTCAGGCAGCTCCCTATCAGAGGGGGGCATCCACACTTCTAAGCCCCAGAGGCAGACAGATGCTAGCTGAGAGGACAGACAGCCCATCCACTGGCTTCAGTCTCTGACCCACTCGAGCCAGGAGACAGACTGTAGGGCTCTAGGCTCACTGTCCTCCTGTACCTCGAAGAGAAAACAGGTCTCATCAGAATGAATGTAAGAGTGTCCTTGCTTTGAATGAAATGCCAAAGAAGGATAACTTAAGCTAATTATCGAGTCATGCCGGAAGCCAAATTATAGACATTGTCATGTAATAAACACCATTTCTCAAGAGAGCGGCTTGGAGACATCTGGGCAGCTGGAAGCCTGAGCTCATTATCTTCCCCTCCAACCTGCTCTGTCTCCTCCTACATCCCACCCATGATGTGCGGGAAGCCTCAGCTTCCCCTCCTCCCCACAGCCAGCTGCCTCCAAGTGCTGCCGATTCTCCCTCAAATACCTGTCCATGCTTGTGGTCACTGCCTTCCATCAGACCTTCACCATCTCTTGCTGCAACCTTGGGTGAGTGATGGGTGATGCCTCCATTTCCCTCATCTGCAAAATAGGATTTTTGTTTTAAACAGAGTGGAAGGTTTCACTTTGATCAAGTATGCCAAACCCCTAGCACACAGTTGAGTTCAGGCTGAGCATTCAGGAAATGCTAGTTCTCCTTCCCTTCGTGCTTCCTCACCCCTTTCCCTTGCCAAGTCTGACCACATGATTTCCTTTGCTTAAAAGTGGTCCTTAATTCCCAATCCTACAGGATAAAATCCAAATTTCTTATCAAGGCAGTCACCCCTTTGAGTTCCTGCCCACAGTCCTCATCACTGTTCAGCCACACTGACCTACTTCATTCGTTTATTAAAAACGTGGTCATCCAGGGGGCGCGTGGCCGACTCAGTTGTTATAGCATGTGACTCTTGACCTTGGGATCCTGAGTTCGAGGCCTCTGTTGGGCATAGAGCTTACTTTAAAAAAGTAGATAAAAAAACAAAAACAAAAACAAAAACAAAAAACCAAAACAGTCACTCCAAAGTATTATCCCACAGATTATTTGCTGGCCCTAAAGGAAGAAAATGCAACTTCTCAATAAATAAATCGGCTCTCACCAATGGCACCTACCAGTCAGTGTTCCGTTACTAAGGCTGGAACTCAGGCATTGAGGACACAAGACGTCGTGCAATATGAGGGAAGCATTACCCACGAGGTGTTTTTGCTAGTCTAGTCAACCTGAATCTAATCAAGACTGTAGATCTAATTTCCAGTTTTCAGGAAATACAGGATAAACAACATCACAAGGAAGCAATCAGAGAAATCTAGAAGGTGGGACATGATGTCTGTAATTTACTTAAAATACTTCGGCAATTCAACAACTCAATGGCATGGGGGAAAAAGTTATTCTAGATTTAAATGAGACTTAAGAGACATAACCAATTGCAATGTGTGGACCTTATTTAGATCCTGGTTGGAACAAACCAAATGCAGAAACATTCTGGGAGGACACTTAGGGAAATTTGAATATGGGCTGGATGTTAGATGATATAAAGGAATTATGGTTAATTTTGTAAGGTGTGAGCATAATATTGTATTAAGAGAACTTCCTATTTAGGGATGAACAGTCATGCAAACCCTAAATCACTTGAAAATATTTTAGCAAAAATGATAAACATGCAAAAATGTTAATAATTCTTAAAAAATTTATTTTTAATATTTATTTTTGAGAGAGAGAGAGACAGAGACAGAGCTTGAGCGGAGGAGAAGCAGAGAGAGAGAAGGAGACACAGAATCCAAAGCAGGCTCCAGGCTCTGAGCTGTCAGCACAGAGCCCAACACAGGGCTCGAACCCACAAACTGTGAGATCATGACCTGAGCCGAAGTCGGATGCTTAACCGACTGAGCCACCCAGGCGCCCCCCCCCCAAATGTTAATAATTCTTTATATAACTACCCATCTAGGTAATGGGTACATAGGGGTTTATTTATTCTCTCCTTTCTAGGTTTTCAGATGTGCGTAATAAAAAAGATTTTTAGAACGTATTTGAGTGCCAACCACATGCCAATCACTGGGCTGAGGAAAAAATCTAATGTGCTTCTTGTCTACGTGAAACAGAGTGTGGTAGGAGAGAGGTGAATAATCAGTTAATCACACTAATAAATAGTGACAACGGATGAAAATGCCTTGAAGGAAGGTGCACAGTTTTCGAGGGGGGATAAAGTTGGAAGGAAGCTGACCTGGCCACCGTCCGGAGGAGTGGGGGGAGAAGTTTTCTCCAAGGAAGGAATGCTTCATCGAAGCTCTGAATAGGAGCAGGCGTTGGCCAGGTACAGGCGAAGGGAGGTGGGGGGAAAGTTTGCAGTTGGAAGGAACAGTATGTGCTAAGGGAGGGAGCGGAGGGAGCTCGTTGTTTAGGCACTAGAGGAGACCTGGGTGGCTGAAGGGAGAGAGGATGGCACAGGGGAGGTGGGAGGGGGTAGGGGAGGGAACCCATCCCCTCTGCCCAGGAGGACCTGTGGGTAGAGTTGTCAGTCTTAGGTAACCCTGCCTGTGAGCCGAATTAATGATTTCACTCTGCATCCGGAAAGCAATGGGAAGCCATTAAAAGGTTTTGGCGGGGGGGTGGAGGGGGAGACACAACCCGACTTGTGGCTTAGAAAGATGACTGGTAGCTATGCAGAGGGCATGGCAGGATGTGGGGGTACTGCCAGGGCGGGGGAAGTGGAGGTGGGCAGAAACAGACACGGCCACATGATTCGCAGGAGGTGTTAGCTTGGAGGGCACTTGGGTTTCTGGCTATGGAAACCTTCCGGGACAGGTTTCCCTGGAAGTGGCACACGGGGCAGAGGAGGCGGGTTGGTGCTGGTCTGGGACAGGCTGATTTTGCTGGGCTACCGAAATGCGTGAGGTAGAGGCTGGGCGGGCAGTGGCGTGTCTCGGTCAGAGCTGAGAGGAGAGGTGTCCGCGAAGCGCTCCCAGCTGGACGGATGCTAACTGTGCAGTGCGCACAGAAGGTCCAGAGAAAGACGAGAGAAACTCCGGACAGAGCCTTGAGGACCCCCGCCCCTTGGGCTGAGGAGGGGAGAATGAGCCTGCGCTCGCACCACAGCGGGGAGCAGCCAGCGAGGCAGGTGGACGCCCAGGAAAGCGGTGCCCAGGAGGTGGAGGACTCGACGGTTCCTAGAAAGAGGAAGTGGCCAGTCATGTGGGATGCTCTTGAGAGGTCAAGACAAGAGGGCTGACAAGAGCCTGCCAGTTTTGATGAGAAGGAGGCCACTGGGACCTCAGCAAGAGCTATTTCGGTGGCGGGTGGGGGTGGCAGCAGATGGAAGTGGGTTGAGGAGTAAGTGGGAAGTGAGAAAAGGAAGACAGTGTGTAGACAGCTCTTCGGGGAATTTGACTGTGAAGGGGAGGAGAGAGGGATGGAGACCAGAGCCTATGGGGTCAAGGGAAGATCTGGCTTTTTAGTGGGAGGGACAGGCTGATGGAGTTGGCTGTGTGAGAGAGATGAGGGATGGCCCGGAGGGCGGATGTGGCGGGACCAACGCCAGGGCGCCCCCTCTACTTAACGGGAGAGAGATGCTGATGGCAAGCGCCTGTCTTGATGGCAAGCGCCTGTCTCTGCTCCTTGCCCATACTGTTTCCTCAGTTGGAATTCTTCTCTCATGCTTCCTTTGGTATTCCCATTCATCCTTTAGAACCTAAGTGGGAGGTCCCCTTCTCTGAAAAGACTTCCCTTCTGTACGGTTGCCCTGACTGTCCTGTTCCAAGGACCATGGTCACCCCTCCATTGCACCTTCCCAAAGTAGCCCATAATGTCCACCTCGTCTACCAGCTGCATCCCCATGACCTCTGAGTACCCCGAGCCTGGTCTGGGGCTTGCTGCAAGGAGGGGAGAGCGCTCAGTGACTGTGGGGTGAATAGATGAATGAACTCACTACAGACCTGTGGAGGAAATACAGCAGGAGGAGGGCAAGCCTGGAATAATTCCTAGGGAGATGTGGAGCAGGGGTGGGAAAAGGGAAGAGACAGAAGGGGGAAAGGCTAGACTGTTGCTGAGAACATTGCCACTCATCAAGGGCTTCTATGGACCAGGCATTAAACTTATGGGTTTCTTATTTACTCCTCACAGTGTCCCCAGGAAGAGTATTGTCTGCTGGTATATTCCCTGGCTTCCCCCAGTTTCCTAGACTGTAAGCTCTATGGGGTGGTGGCAGGGTGGGGGGGTGTCTGTCTTGCTCGCCACTGCGCCTCCAACGCTAGACGGGCACGCAGATAGGGTTGCCAGGTGGAACACAGGATGTTCAGTTAAGTCTGAATTACAGAGAAGCAAGCGTTTTTCTAGTCTAAGTATGTTCTGCAATTTGTGCTACATTTGACAATCCTGTACACAGTAAATATTGGTGAGTAAACCTTGCTTGGCTGAATGACACAATGGGGATGCAATCAGTAAATTCCAGATCGTGGGAACTATAATTTAAAAAAAAAATTTTTTTTTTTTAATTTTTGAGAGAGAGCACCAGCGGGGGAGAGGCAGAGAAAGAGGGGCACAGAAGATCCAAATCGGGCTCTGCTCTGACAGCAGTGAGTCTGATGTGGGGCTTGAACTCATGACCCTGAGATCAAGAGGCACAGGCTTTACCTACGGAGCCAGCCCTGCACCTCCAGACTGTGGTGATTCTAGTATCAATAAATTGCAAGGAGAAAATAAAAAAGAGTTAAAGGAGGAATTTATGAATTAAAGAGAGTTAAGAGACGTATCATCTACTTGAAATCCTTCTTTGGATCCTAATTCAAGTAAACCAAAGTGGAAAGAAAAGAATATTATAAGATAATGAGAAATTTGAACATTGGCTGGCTATGTGATGTTAAAGGATGACCATTAACTCTTCTTAGGTTTGATAAGAGTGTTGGGGTTATGTTTGTTTCGAATGAATCGTTATGTTGTGGAAATATGTATTGAAATATTTGGGAATGACATTGTATGATGTCTGGGATTTGCTCTAAGATAACATGGAATATGTTCTATACCTTAATTGTGGTGGTTACATTCAGTCATGAAAACTATTTGAACTGTACATTTAACATGTACATTTATCGTATATGAGTCATCCCTCAGTAAAGTTGGTTTTATTAAAAATTGGAGTAGGGGAGGAAGTGGGTGGGGGTAAGCCTGAAACAAGATCGGCTATTGGCTGATAAGTGTTAAGGCTGGATGTGGGTTACACAGAGGTTTGTTATACTTTTCTGTTTACTTTTGTATGGGTTTGAAAATTTCCATAGTAGAGCACTTTTTCAATGGCACGAAAGGAGATGCTATTTCTATTTTGCAGATGAAGAAACTAAAGCAGAGGTTAAGTAACTTGGTCCCGAATTGACACAGCTGGTAAAATGATGAGTCGGGGATATGGACAGACCATCTGAGTCCAGAACTTAAGCCATTAATCATGGGTACAGATTTCCAGAGGGGGTAGATCAAAGTGTGCTTTTGGCTAGGGGGACGCAGCCCTGCTGGGTGGGAACAGAGTCTGACTTAGGGAATTCTTGAAGTAAGAAGGGCAAAAATGGTGGTGGCTATGTTGCAGTGGGTCAAGAAATAGTTTCCCTCTTAGATTCATTGTCATGGGGGTAGACTTATGGTTAGGAGTGTGGTCTTGGGACCCAGCTGCCTGGGTTTGGGTCCTGGCTCTCACACCTGATAGCAGTGTAACCTTGGGAAAGTCACTTAAAATCTCCATCCCTGGGACCCTGGGTGGCTCAGTCAGTTAAGCGTCTGACTCTTGATTTTGGCTCAGGTCATGACCTCATGGTTTGGAGTTTGAACCCTGCTTCAGGCTCTGCGCTGACAGCATGGAGCTTGCTTGGGACCCTCTTTCACCCCCTCTCTCTGCCCCTCTCCTGCTTGCTCTCTCTCTCTCTCTCTCTCTCTCTCTCTCAAAATAAATAAATAAACTTAAAAAAAACTTCTTTCCTTACTTATAACATGAATATTAACAGCAATATAAAATGGTGTAGCCAGTTTGGAAAACGGTTTGGCAGTTTCTTAAAAAGTTAATATAATTTGGGGCACCTGGCTGGCTCAGTCGGTTGAGCGACCGACATCGGCTCAGGTCATGATCTCATGGTTTGTGGGTTCGAGCCCCGCGTCGGGCTCTGTGCTGACAGCTCAGAGCCTGGAGCCTGCTTCGGATTCTGTGTCTCCCTCTCTCTCTGCCCCTCCCCAACTCATGCTCTGTCTCTCTGTGTCTCAGAAATAAATAAACATTAAGAAAAAAAAATTTTTTTTAATTAATATAATTTACCATATATTGTGGCAATCCCACTCTTAACACAAAAACATATGTCCACACGAAGACTTGTATGCCGATGTCCACAACAGTATTATTCATAATAACCGAGAAGTGGAAACAACCCAAATGTGATTGGGTAAACAAAACGTGCTATGTCCTTACCATGGGATACTACTCAGTGATACAAAGGAACATACGTACTATGGCACAGGTAAACCTCCAAAACATTACACTTTTGTGAAGAAGTCAGATGCAAAGACCACATAGGGTGTGATTCCATTTCTATGAAATGTCCAGGAAAGGATCTATAGAGACAGAAAGTAGATTAGTCACTCGGGGCTGGGGGTGGGAATGGGGAGTTACTGCAAGTGGAGATGAGGGATTTCTTAGGAAATGTTCTAAAATTGGACTGTGGTGGTGGTGGTGTAACTCTATAAATTTAATAACAATCACGGACTTGGATACTTAAAATGGGTTATGTATGGTACGTAAAAATAAAAAATAGTGCCTATCTCATAGAATTGTTAGGGGGATTACATAACCTAAAGTTCCTAGACAGAGACTGGAATGCAGTCCGTGCTGTAGAAGTTCTTATTATTGGGCTGGACCTCTGGGGCCAGTTCTCTGCTGTGCCTCCTTCCAGGGAAAGGGCCATTGGGTAGGTATTACTCCCAAATCCTTGAACAAAGGCCTTCGGGTGAAATCCAGATGGGTCACGGAAGGGGAAGGGTCTCCCCAGCTCTCTTCCAGGTCTCCCCAGGCCCTTCCTATCTCTCGTTCTGGAGGTGTCAGGTGGAGCCCAGCATCCAGACCTTTCCCTCTTTTTCTGCCATGGGAAGGAGGGGCTCCAGAGAAGAGTGTTGCCTCCTTCTCTGGCCGGCTGAGGATGGGGTCAAGTGCCCTCTACCGTCGGCAATGGGAATTGCAACAGCTGGGCCAGCCCGCTCACATCGTGTTTTCACTCTACTGACGGTTGTGAAGAAGCTACTGTTGTCCCCTTTTCACTGACAGGGACACTGGTACTCAGAGTGTCTAGGTGACCTGCCCAGGGTGGCACAGCAGGCACCCTCCCCCCCTCCCAGAAGTCCAAACCTTCTGAAAATGGACGCTTGATGACTCCAGGTCCTTTCAGCTGGAGAGTTAACTCACACTAACCCCTACAGTTTGTAAAGTTCTTCCATGCCCACAATGAGCTTTCCCATCCGGGCTGTATTCTGGGGTGCCTGATTCAAGGAAGGGGAAGAAGGAAAAGTGGAGGTGGAGGGAATTCCTTCTCCAGGGAAGTAGTCCTAACAGTAATGATCCCCAACAAAGCCCCTAAACCCAGATCTGGAGCACCGAAGGCTTTTGGAGTGGGAGAAAGAGGAGGCCATTGTTCTGCATTGTTATGTAAGATGCATTCATTTATTCGTACTGAAAAGTCTCTTGAGCGTTCTCTCCTTAAGTCAACACTGCACTAGGCACAGGAATGCAAATACGAATGAGACTGTAGGGGATAAAAGGAGTTTCCCAGTTCAGTTTCCTGCAGGGGGGGCCCAAGCTCCCTTCCCAGGCATCTCAGTGGCAAAGAGGTTGGAGTACAGTCAGGTTGAAGCAGATGCCCTCTGCCCCACAAGCAAAATAAATATGTTACTGCTGTTTCAGGGTAAGAGTTCTCAACATTGTCCCCCGGAAGAGACAGCTGTGAAGATAATCATTCTTCCAGAAGTTTCCTCGTGTGTGTGTGTGTGTGTGTGTGTGTGTGTGTGTGTGGGGGGGGGGGGGGAGGGGAATGAATGGCCGAGGGTGGGGAGGGGAGCCAAGGCTTTTGGAGCACTCAGGAACCCTGGAGTCTAGACCTGGCGGGACCCCAGGATCTCCCCTCACGACAACTGCCCTGAGACTTCTTCAGAAGATGCTAGGGGGTGAGTGTTTGTAGCAATAGAACACCATACCCCTTAGTTCCTCAAACCCTGGCTCCTCAAGGCCTTTATCTGTGGTCTCTGCAGAAGGGAGATGGGGAAGGCAGACCTTCCTGACCTCTTTCCACTCAAATGTTATTTGATGACATGTAGAAAACCAATTCTTCTGTCGTCACTGCCAGAGGGGCCAGGATGCATCATTTGCAACCCTCAGAAACCCTCTATTACCCTGGGCCCAGAATGAGATATTCTCTCTGTGACACCCTCCCCCACTTCCACATTGTTACTCTAAGCTATCATACCATTCTCTCTTTATGTTTCTGGGGATGGGAAGCAGCCATATTCTAGTAACCTGATTTTTATCAAGAAATATTCCAGGGATTCATTCATTCACTTACAAATATTTATTGAGCACCTATCATGTCTGGGCACTGTTTTAAGCAGTGGGGATGCAGTGGTGATTAAGACAAACTTCTCATCAGCTCATTTCCAGACTAATGAGAAATAGTAAATGAAGAATAAATACATTCACAGACTTTCATATAATAGTAAGCTGTACAGAAACTAAAGAAAGTTAAGGGGATGGAATGTGCTGTGGGGAGGTGGTCCTACATTTTCGGGGGGGGGAGGAATTCACTTTTTTTTTTTTTTTTTTTTTTGCTTCACTCTTCTTGGGAGTGATAAGAATGAAGGTCTGGGTGTCCCCTCCTCTGGACTCCTCAGCCCATTTTGACAGCTCAAGCTTCAGAGGGCAGAGTCTTGGTATTGGAGGGGGCCGCAGAGCCAGCCCCTCAGAGTTCAGTCAAGGGATCATTAGGAACGGCATTAGAGAAACGGAAACAAATCTATTTATCTTCTTCCATGGGTATAGTAATATCTACCCCCCGCCCCTCTCTGAATTTACCTTTTCCTTTCCTCATCTTGCACACACCGAATTCCTAACTAGTTTTCAACACTTTCTGAGCCCAGCGTGTGCCAGGCACTGCCCTAGGGGACCAGAACAGAGGTAGGAAACATTCTCTGCCCGCCGTAGTCCTGCTGTCCAAAGCTTGTAAACAGCCATTGTCTAATTTCACCTTTTCCCTCAACACTGTTTTTGTGATTCATCTATGTTGATTCACGGAGCCCCAAGCGGGTAGATACAAATATTCCCATTTCGCAGATGCGAAAACCGTGACCGCTAAGGGAAAAACGAATAGCTTTGCGACGGCTAAATAGCGGGACGCCACCGGGCCACGTGCAGCGGCGCGTTTAGCCCCTCGCGATCCCACCCGCACACGCTCCTTCCTTCCCTCCCTCCCAGCCGCCGCCGCGCCGGGTCCACGTGTGTGTGTCTGTGTGCGGAATGGGGACGGGGGCGGTGCCGCCGGAGGGGTGGGGTCCGGGCTTAACGTCACAGGCGGTGCCGTCCAATCAGCGGCGGGCTCGCGGCCCCGGCGCTGGTATTGGGGCAGCGAGGGGGCAGTTCTCTATAACGCGGTCTCCGGGAGCCAGCGGGGAAGAAAGAAGCCGAGCGGGCGGAAGGCGCCCTCCCCGCCGCCTGGGCCCGGGCACCGGGTGCCGGGCCCGGGGTCCTTCCCGCCTCCCGCGGCCGCCGGCCGCTTTGTTTCCCCAGCCTCTGCGCTCTGGGCTACTCAAGAGGGGCTCCCGCCGGGGCTGCGCGGGGAACGCGGCGGCGGCAGGAAGGGCGGCCGACCGGGCCGGGACTCGCAGGGACCCAGGAGTCCGGCCGCCGGGAGGGCCGCGTGACGAGATCGAGGAGGGAGCCAGAGCCCCGCGGCCCAGGGTTGCGGGCCGGGGGCGCCCGTGAGCAGAGACCTCCCCGTCGAGGGGGGGCGATGTTCCCCTCGCCCGTGGGCTCTTCGGGCAGCCAGGGCACACCGCCGCTGGGACCAGGGCCCCCGCAGTGGGCACCCCCCCGGGCGGTTCCATGGAGACTCTGTGCCCCGCTCCCCGCCTCGCAGTGCCGGCGTCCCCGCGAGGGTCGCCTTGCTCCCCGACACCCCGGAAGCCGCGTCGGGGGACACAGGAGTTCTCTCCACTGTGCCTGCGTGCCCTTGCCTTCTGCGCCCTTGCCAAACCTCGAGCGTCCTCTCTGGGCCTGGGGCCTGGGGAGTTGGCGCCGCGGGCCCCGGTGCTGGTGGGCCCTCGCGCCCCGCTGTGCACCGGCGGCTGGGCCCCGGATGGCCTGAAGCACCTCGCGGGACAAGCCGGGCGGTCCGGTGATCCGAACTCCCCGGCCGGTCAGGATGCCGAAGCCGCAGTGTGCTGGAGCCGTGGCGAGGAGGAAGAGGGCGGAGGCAGTTTCCCGCACTTCAGCTCCCGCTCCGGCGTACCTCCCGGCCGCTGCCCGGCGCCTCGGCGCCCTCGGGAATCTCCGACCAGCTCCGCCTCGGCTCCGCCTCGGCCAGCCTCGGGTCTCGACTCCCAGCCTGGCCCCGCCGCCAGCCCCCATCAGGAGCCCAGTTCCCGGCCTCCGCCGCCACCTGCGGGCCTCTCTACCGAGTCCGCGGGTCCCGGGGCTGCGCCGGAGCCGCCCGCACCGGGACAGACGGCCGCAGTCGATGGAAACCCCCCGCAGGCCGCCCCCGAGGCACCAGCCGCTAGCCCCTCGACGGCCAGCGGAGCTTCGGCCGCGCCCGGCGATCTCCGCCAGGAACATTTCGATCGTCTGATCCGCCGGTCGAAACTTTGGTGTTACGCGAAGGGCTTCGCCCTCGACACTCCGAGTTTGCGCCGGGGGCCCGAGCGGCCGCCAGCAAAAGGGGCCGCCCGGGGAGCCGCCAAGAAACGCCGGCGACCGCCACCCCCCCATCGCAGCACGCAGCCCCGCCGCCCTGCACCGACGCTCCCCACGACGAGCACCTTCAGCCTCCTCGACTCCTTCCCCTGCCCCCCGGCCCTGGTGGTAGGGGAGGACGGAGACTTAGGGCCGGCATCTTCGCTTCGCCTCCAGGGAGACTCTAAGCCCCCGCCTGCCCACCCACTGTGGAGGTGGCAGATAGGGGGTCCTGCTGTCCCTGAGCCCCCAGGCCTTAAATTCTGGGGGATCAACTTGGAGGAACTCTGAGCAGAGACCTCTCCTACCAATGGGGAGAAAAGTTGGGGCCACGGCCAAACTTTGGGCTCGAGGACGGGGCCTCGTGTGTCGCATTTGCCTGTTCCCTTTACGTTTTAAGGGCTGCGGTCAGAGGGACCTCAAATGACAGTGATCTTCAAGCACCTAGCTGTTTGGGGTGACACCCCCTCCCCCTCATCCTTTGGAGTCGAACCAAGGGCTGGAGTCAGGAGAAGGCTTAACGGAAAAAGGCTTAATGACATAGATTCCAATCCCTCCCCTCTTCCATCTGGGATCTCTGGGGGCAGGGCCTTCACCCCAGGGGGAGCAAAGGAGGCTACCGCTCAAAGACGAGGAAAAAAAAAAGAGGGAGAGAGACCTTGGTGATGGACAAACCGGTTGTTTCTGTGGGCGAGCCTGGGGATGAGGGGGCTGTGGTGGGGGTGGGGAGGTGATTGGCAGCTCCCTGGGGGCATCCCCCACCCCCACCATCCAGGCCTTTAACCCTTCACTCCCCTCAGGCATTCCCCCGCGCTCCCAGCATCACTGGAACCTTCCTAGAGGGGGCAGCTCGGGCAGGGGGAAGATCACCCCCTCCCTGTTCTTTTCCTAAGCCCTCTCCCCGCCCTCCCTCCCCCCAAGGCAGGTGACTTCTAATTGGCGAGATCTTCAGTCTCAGCCACCAACCTTTCCCTTTTGTCCAGTTTTGGAGTTTCTTCAATTTTTCCTGTTTGTTTTCAGTTTGTAAGGTATGATGGGTGAAAGAGGACCTTCTCCCTGGATCCATCAACCCCCTCCCCCAGTTTGCTTCTCCAATTAGGAGGGGACCTCCTCCCCCTCCAAAAGCACAGACTTTGCCTGGGGAAAGGGCCAGAGACTGTCCCAGGGAAAGTAATGGAAGGTGGAAGAAATCAATAAAATCAGACCAAACCAGTTGCCTTTCGAGGTCCTCTCCACCGATTTATGGATGGGAGGGGATGGAGGTAGAGGGCAGGCCTGGGTCTATTTTCGGACACCCAAACTCAGCCCCCTCAAAGGCTAGAGATGAGACGAGCAGCTCTTTGTAGAGGGGTAAGTTAAAGAGCTCTTGACCTAACCTCAAGGGTCTGGCCAGGCTTGGAGGGGCAAAGTTTGGGTTTGAATGGGAACTGGGCTGAGCCATCATCAGCTTCCTCCCCTAACTTCAGGCATTTCAGTTGTCAGGGACCTGATGGATCCGATGGGGGCAGGGCCAGGGGATTAGTTTTGAGGTCAGAGGTTCTGTTTTCCAGGGGGGAGGGGAGAGGTAGGCCTGGACCACGCCCGGTGGCTGGGACGACCCCCTAGAGCCAGAGAGGGGGGTGAAATCGCTTTCTCCTCTGCCCAGGTGAGGTCGGGGAGGCGAGCTCTTAGGGAGACTCCCCAAGTTTGGGTGTGACGGGAACCTGGGGGTGGTGGATCTGCCCGACAAGTGAGGAACCCAGTGACCCTTCTGCCCACACTAGTGAATAGCCACCCCTTTCCCCCCAAAACGGGGGCGAGGGAGGAACAGTTCCCATATACGATACTGGGGAAGGACTTGTCTCCTTTTCTGTGAAAATGCTTTGTAAAAAGTTGTTATTGTTTGCATAGAGCAGATTCTTGAGAAAAACTGTTTTGGGCCACAAAAGTTTTGTTTGTTTTAAAAGCTGTCTCTTAATTTTTTCTACCCCCCCGCCCATGGGGGTGAAGGTGGGGGTGGGGTGGGTGGGCGTGGGTTGGGCTTTGCTCTCTTTCTCCTCAACATCTGGCCTTTATGAACCCTGCTGACCTCCCCTCCCCCCTCCAGCTGTGTTGTGGGGAGGTGGGGGAGGGCGGGGCGAGTCCGCTTTGACCCTTTTCAACCAGCCTGGGCAGGAGGGTGTGAGCTCTGGGCCAAGAGTCCTTTTCGGACTCCACTTCCCTGAGCAGTGGCATGTGATGCAGTTAATTTGTCCTCCCTCCTCCCTCCTCAAATGAAAGCATCAAACATTAAACGTTAGCCTGGAAGGAGTCCGGGGCGGTGAGTTGAAAAACACACCTTTTGGCCAGACCTGGGACTCCCCTCGCTTGCCGAATGGTTTAATTTGGAGAAACTCAGGGCTAGAAGCCTCTCTAGAAGCTTTCTAGTCCTTTTGCAGAATAGAGAACGGCATTCGTTTCCTGTGGCTGCTGTAACAAATTACCACAAACGCGGTGCCTTAAAACAACAGCAATCTTTTTCCCTTCTAGTTCTGGAGGCCAGAAGTCCGAAATTAAGGTGTTGGTAGGGCCACGCGCTCTCTGAAGGCTCTAGGGGAGAACCCCTTCCCTGCCTCTCCCAGCTCCTGGAGGCCCCACCGTGTTCGCCGCGGGACCGTCTGCACGTGGCCCTCCCCTCTTCTGTCTCTTATACGGACACTTACTGGGTTCCGGGCCCACCCGGATAATCCGGCATGACTTCATCTTGACAATGTTCATTTCGCTACATCTGCAGAGACCCTGGTTCCAAATAAGGCCGCGTTCACAGGGTCCAGAGGGAGGGGAGTTAGGACACAGATCTTGTTGGGTGCCACCATTCAGCCCACTGCAGAAACCGAGTCCCTGTAAGGAGAAACTTGCCCAGACTTTCTGGGGGAAGGAAGCCTGTGCTGCAGTGTGTGTGTGTGTGTGTGTGGGGGGGGTGGTGGTGGTGGTTCTGGGGTACTGCCCCTCTGGATGGGGGGAGGGGGCTGCACATCTCCCTGAATTGGAGCAGCTTGGGGGAAAGGGTCAAGTTGGACTCCTTACTTTTTCCAGACTGCTCTCATGGATGCTAGGACTCCCCCTCCCCCAACACTCATTGAGCCGGGAGGGGAGCTCAGTCTCCCCAAGAGGGTCCCTGGGGGCTCTCCCTTCCGTGTTTCCTCAGTCTCCAGAGCCTCCGCCGCCCCAGCCCCTGCTCCCAGATTGCCGGTGTGGGTGTGCGTCCTTTCTTCTACCTCTCCCCATCCAGGCTTCGCATCCTCTGTGGCTCAGCCAGTGATCACGGCGTGTTTGGCGGGATCAAGGGTCTTAGCTTCTGCCTGGATCTCTCTTACTGGGTTTTCTCTTTTCCTTTAGTTTCAGAGGGTCTCTCTCCGTGGGTCCCTATCTCTCCACAGCTCTGGGGCCAGTTGTCTGCCCCATCATCAGGACCAACTGCACGCCCCCGAAAGAAAGTGAGTACCTCCTTAAATCTTATTCCCAAGGCGCCTCGCCTGCCTCACCCTAGTCCAGCCTGTTCACCAACACACCTCCCTCCTCCTGGGAGCCGCCCCCGCACCCTCTGCTTCTTGCCTCTTAAATCTTTGCGACTTGACTTCTCCCTGAAATGGCTTTTTCCAGGGTCACTCATGACATCCCACCCCCAAACACAAGTCCAGTGGTCGCCTCCCGGCCATCCTGACCCCTGTATCTCTCCGTGACCCCGCTGGATGCTCACCAGTGCTCTGGTTCTCTCCTGTAAGAAGTCCCTCCTCCGTTTTCTGTGCTTCCTCTTCCTCTGACCTCAGGAAGCTTTAACACACAGGGAGCCAGTGATGTCCAGGTGGTGTCTACTCTCCGCCCCCAAGGCTCCCCACGATTCCCTTTGTGTCTCTCTCTGAAGTCTTCATCCTGCACTTGCATGGGTAAGTGAGTCAAAATTACTGTCCCCGCCTCCTCTCCCTCCAGCTCTACCCCTCTCCTGAGCTTTGGTCTCCTATCTCTGAGTGGTTACTGTCAACTCATACTTTCCCTATTGAGGACCAAGCTTCTTGTCATCGTCCCCTGCCCCCCTTAGTCCCCGCCCCCTCCCCCATCAAGCCCACGTTCTGGTTAGAGCTCTGCCTTTCTTCCCAAGACTCAGCCCCTTGAATTCTCACCCGCTGCCTCTCATTTGACTCACTGCTGTCTATTTCCAAACCTCTGTCTCCTTCTGGCCTCTCCAGTAGCTCTTTGTATCCTCTCCGGGAGGGTGCAGCGCCCACAATGTCTAGCCTGGACCATTGCAGTAGCCACCTAACTAGTTTCTGTATCTCTGGTTTTCCTCTGATCCCCTCTGATCCCATTACTTTCGTACTCAGCAGGTCCCCTGATTTTATTAAATGCAACCCCCTCGGCCTGTCATTTGGGGCCTTCTATGATTCGACCCTAACTCGCGTGGCTCTGTTTCCTCACTTTATACACCACGTGGTCCATCACATTGGATCGCCTTTCCTTTCCCAGCCACCCTCCCTTTTCTCTACCTTCATTCTCCAAGGCCCATGTGAAATGCCATCTCTCCCCCAAAGTCTTCTCGGATTCCCCCAGTTGAATGTCATCCGTGGCACGTTTGGACCCTCCTCACTCTTTTCTGTCTGGGGCAGGAATGGTGGAGTGGGGTGGGAGAATGTGGGCTTTGGAGCCAAGCACTCCTGTCCCCCCTTTCCAAGGAGAACCTGGGAAGCTAAGTCAGGCCACCGGGAGGAATCCCCTTTCTGACCTAAGCTTTCGTTTCATTGCTTTGGCCTTAACTGAGTGTTACGAACACTAAGTGGCCCCTTCAAAGTCACTCCTGTAATTGTAGAAACTTCCCAGGAAGACACACGAGTGTGCCAACGCCCCCTACCTAGGGTGTTTATTTTTTAATTAAAGGTAAAAAAATTGAGGTTATTGATGACAAGGTTATGATTGTGATTTTTTTTCTTCATCTTTCTACAGTCATCTTGCTTCTCTTGCTTCATCTGTGTCCTGTACACAGCAGGCACTTAATCAATACTTGTCCAATGCGGAGTGTACATTTTAAAAAGGCTTATTTATATTTAAAGGGCTGGACTGCAGCTTGGGGAGTGGCACTTGGCCAGGATGCAGTTCCAGAGGCTTCCACTAGATGCTGCTGTCTGCTAGCACCAGAGGCTGGAGAGGGTGGGTGGGGAAGGCGGTAAGTCTTCTCAGCTATTGAACACCTCCCTGGGCTGGGGCCTGGGGAGAGGGATGTGTAGGACAAGATCTCTGCATTCGAGGAACTTCGGTGCTTTGCAGGTGTCCCTGCTTTCATAACAATCGATGGGTATTCTTATCTCTCTTAAATAGATGAGGAAATGGAGGCTCAGAGAGGTTAATCGATTTGCCCTGAGGTCACACAGCCAGTGGAAGAGCAGTTTAATTCTGGGCCCTCTGGGTTTTCCCCTAATAGCTGGCGTCATAGCAAACACTTACATGGCACTTGCTTGGAGGCAGGTGCTGTTCTCAGTGCTTTATGCTTAGTTACTCATTTAGTCCTCAGGACGGTAAGAGGTAGGTACTATCAGTATCCCCATTTGACAGTTGAGGAAACTGAGCTACAGAGAGGTCAGGCCTCTCTGAATTGTGCTGATGGAGTTTGTGCCCGTAGTGACCACACTGCTGCCATGTTTTACTACCCCAGCAGCGACCAGTTACCGACCAGAGGTAGCCTCCCGCCAATATCTGGGGGTCACAGAACTCTGTGCCAGAGACACAAAGACACAGAACCTGACCCTGAGGGGCCTTAAGCTGCATGGAAGAAGCAGGACATGCAGCCTCCTCCTTAGGGTGTGGGCTCTCCACAGACATGCTGGGCTACTCTAGCTGAGTGGTTTACCCTTTCTGGGCATGGGGAGAGGGATGTGTGATATCACCAGAGGACTCTGTAGCAAGAAGTGACTCTCAGACACCAGAGGTTTTTGTTATCCATGATAATCAATTGCAAAATTATAGCACTTAAAAAAAAATAGAGATGGGGGTGCGTTAGCCTCCGACTCTTGATTTCAGCGCAGGTCATGACCTCCCGGTTCATGGGTTCGAACCCCGCGTCAGGCTCTGTGCTGACAGCTCGGAGCTTGGAGCCTGCTTTGGATTCTGTGTCTCCCTCTCTCTCTGCTCCTCCCCTCCTTGCGCTCTGTCTCACTCTAAGAAAAATAAACATTAAAAATAATTTTTAAAAAAATAAACATAAAAAAAGAGTCTTTATCTTTTAAAAAACACAGGTAAAGTTATCTACTTTAAAATGCGCAAAAGGCCTGTTTGATTAACATTTACACATGCACATACATGTGTGATCACTACCCGATTCTAGTCTAGCCCTCTGAGTAGCTCCCTCAGACTTAGTCCCAGTCAGTCCCCTGACCTGGACATAGCCACCTTGCTGGCCTCTGTCGCTGCAGATTCACTTTTTTTTGGGGGGGGGGGGGACAGAGAGAGACAGAGCATGAACG